ACACACTATGTTGATATGAATATCCTTATATATATATATATATATATATATATATATATATATTACTTGAAATTGTGTATCATGATATAATTTGGACTTAGTAGATAGGTTATGTTAAAGAGAAACCATCACAAAAGACCAAATAAGACAATATTCCTTTGTGATGGTGTAGCAAAGAAAATAATCAAAAGCAATTGAGTCTGGTCATAAAACATCTTATTAAACATGATATATAAATTGTGATTGCTTATGTAGGAAATTTTAAAATGAGCATATTTATCATATAATCATATGTGGCTTTTTTATTTGGACGAGTATGTTTTCCTTGGTTTTTATATGCACAAAAGGTTTTGGCTATGATTATCCTCCAACCTTTTTTCAAGTGTCTGTCTGAAAACAACAAGGAGTAGGTGAGCAAAATGTAAAAATGGAAAGACATTTAAGTAGCGATTGCTTAACGATTTCTGCTATTAACTTTAACTTAGAAGAAAGCAAGATTTTAAATCTGTAGAATTGTTCATGCAACAGTAAACCTTCCAACATCAATGTTCTCAATTATTTTCATTTACAAATTGCATAAAGAACAAAATGTTTTTATTAACTCTTGTCTTATGTTAAAAAATGGGAACTGAATAAAAGGATTGATGAAATAATATTGATAATAAAGTAGCTTTTTATTGTATCGTCTGATGAGAACTCTATTTCATTAAAAGACTTTTCCACAGATATTAAGAGTCACAAATGCAATTCTAGCAACAATTGTTGATGCAAGCAATTAAAGAGGAGGAGGAGGAAGAGGAGGTATTATCAACATATGATTCTTTGGAGCCTTTACAATAAAACAGATTTATTCTTGGATAAAGGACTCCAAGTATCTTTTCAAGTATATCAGAAAGTATATTTGCAGTACCTGAAAAGTAGGCAGAGAAAAAATGAAGCTGTAAGGAAGGTATGAAAGGACCAATAATAAGAGCCATGTTTATCCCAGAAGGAGAGTTAAAAGGTACAAAAAAGTGTGTGTGTGTGTGTGTGTGTGTGTGTGAGAGAGAGAGAGAGAATAGATATTTTTAAAGAATTTGATAAACATATGTGCAAACTTTTTGAATAATACAAAAATGACTTTAATAAGGAAGGAAGGTGGCAGATAGTTATTAGGAAAGGAGTTGTGTTATAAAGAAAGGAGGAAAAAAATGAAACAAAAACGCAAAATGAAAACAAAGTAACAAAAAATAAACAACATGAACAACAATTAACTTTCTCAAGCAATCTGCAACATGGAATGAATGATCTAGGGGAGGTAATCCCTTTCAGTAACATTCTTATTGATAAAGATAAAAAAAGGAATACTGGCTTTGGAGTGATCTTAATGGGGTGAGGAGAAATAAATAAGGGTGGGAGACTCCAATTTTGAAGAACACTATGAAATAAATACTTAAGAAAATAAATACTTCTGGTATCAATGATATAAAAGGACATCAACCAAGACATGATCATAACAACAAGAGAAAAACTATGCCCTAAATATTTGCTAGGCATGAGAAAGTTGTGAAAATTTTTAGAAAAGGTCAATAAAAAATCCGAACAAAACAAGAGAACTGAATAGTAAGTATAGTTGACGTATGTGAACCAATTACTTTAACAAGGATCCTTTATGTAAATCAATTTTCTATTGTACTTACCTTGATATTAAATAAATAATACTTGTGTTAGTGGTGGGGGGATAGGAGTGAATGCATTTGAATAATTTGTGTAGGTTCATGTTAAAATGATTTTGTATAAATAATCACTGGCATGGCATTTTATGGGAAATATTTTACAAATTTCCCTGTCAATTTGGTCAATTCTCCAAACAAAGTTGAAAGCAACAGCAAAAGAACTGGTGGAAGGGAAGCATTTCTATATTTTTATCTACTTTCTGAAAACTCACTTTCAGAGTGATGGAATAAGTAAAATTTGAAAGCTACAATTCTTTTCACACATTCAGCCACACAGTGCAGCTATATATATATATATATATATATATATATATATATATATATATATATATATATATATTACATGCAGACACGTACACACACTCATATTTTTAAAAAGACACAGAAAGAAAGAATTTAACTTGATGCTTTCTTTGCTTTCTTCAAGTTAAATTTTCTTGACTATTTTCTTCTCTAAGCAATTTTACTCACTAGTAAAAAAAAATGATTTATTATAGTTAAATTTCTTCTTAAGAACTATTTCAGTGAACACACACACACACATATATATATTACAATGAATCATTCATACAAAAAGTAGATTAGTAAAGTTAATGATATAAAATGGTGAAAGGGATTTCACCATTTTATATCATTAACTTTACTAATCTACTTTTTGTATGAATGATTCATTGTAATATAAATTGAACTGCACCACATATTTGATACACACACACACACACACATACATATATATATATATATATAACACAGCAAAAAATCAAAAATTATCTCATGTGGGTATAGTCTATTTCAAACTGGCACAACCTTATGCCAGTCTTCTTCACCCCTAGACAGACTGTCTCGGGCCCCGAGGTAATTTTTGATTTTTTGCTGTATTATACATATGCTCTGTTATAATATATACAGTGAGCTCTCTGTGGATCAGTTTTAATATCTGATATTACTAGGATCCACCTGGATTATAAACCAATGGATCTATTACCTGTACTATATATATATATATATATATATATATATATATATATATATGTGTGTGTGTGTGTGTGTGTGTGTGTGTGTGTATATGAGACTTACATTTAATTGTTAGATTTGGTGTATTGGGAAGAATTTTTTCTGTCTTCTTTTGACTGGTTAAAATATCACCAAAAAGAAAAATGAAAAAAAAAAAGTTCTTTCTGCCCCAACTCTATCATCTTCCTCCCTACCAACCATTCATCTTGTGTGACAATTGCTAGAAAGATATGGGAGGGGGATAGAGCTTAAATAGTCAAGTGTTGAACCGATTACTCTCACTCACTTCATCTTTTAGACAGCTGTCAAACAGGCATAAGTATACAGATGTGTTTGTGTGAAAATTGTGCTGGGAAGGAAATGGGAGAAACAAAATAATTTAAAGGTTTTGGTTCTGAAAGGAAAAACAAATTCTTTAAAGAATTGTTTCTTTTTCTAGAAAAGATCAACAAAAAATATCTTATAACCCAAAATAATAGCAATAACATCATTATGGTAATTTAGTATCATTTAGTAACATTCGTTTCCTGATATTGTTTTAACCCAAAAACAATGCAGAAATATTTTTGAAAATTACAAGCATTGTTTCCTTGTTTGAAGGTCTAAAGATTTCTAAGTCAAATATAGATATCTAAACATTTTCATATGATATGCTGTTCTTTTTTCTAAAAACAATCAATAATAAATAAAAGAGAAAAATATAAAATAAAATAAATATGTGTACATGTATGTATGCATATACACTCACTCATAAGCCTATATATATATATATATATATATATATAAAATATATGTAGGTTTATATATGTATATACAAATGAAATTAAATAAGTGAAAATATCCTCAATTAAAATTGGTTGTAGCTGGTTGACTGTAGGGGTATTGGGGATGAAAAAGGGTGGGGATTTGAGAAGAAAAACCGGAAAGCCAATGTTGAATGTGGTAGAATTCGTGCAAATGCTTTCAAAGTGTCAATGCAGACGATTATAGCTGAATGCTGATGAACTCTTTCTTCACAGAGAAAGAAATCAGATCACAGATATAGTGATAACACATTTTCCCTCTACAAGATAATAGTAGTAGTAGTAGTAGTAGTAATAGTAGTAGTAGTAGTAACACAGTGGACATGGTAAAATAGAACATGAGAACATGATCGGTTAAGTTTGGTTTTCTTCTTTTTTTTAAGTTTTTTTTTGCTTTTTAGTTTTTTTTCATGTTTTTAAATTTTTTATTCATTTTTTTAATTTTTTTAATTTTTTTTAAATTTTTGGTTGATTTCTTTAGTTTGTCCCATCTATGTGCTACCTGGGTGGTAGTCTAAATTCTGTATTATAATAAGAGTGGTGGTGGTGGTGGTGGTGGTAGCAACAGTCACCAATGATCCAAGATCAGCAATAAACACCAATTAGCAGTAACATCTGTTTCTTTACTTATCACCCGCAAATATTTTCCAATTCATTTGTTCTCATCTTTAAAATATTTTCTGTTTCAATATTGTTCTCTGATTTCACGGCTTTTTTTTATTTTTCATTTTTCACTTTTTTTGTGTGTATAAATTGTTTGCAAGACAAGACAGCTACCAATAAATTTAATGTAATTTTTAAAATTTTTTTCCATGTAATAATAATAATAATAATGATAATAATAATAATAATAATCAACTGTTTTTATTTGTTGTCTTCATTGCTTGTCTTTTTTAAATATAATTTATTTTTTAATTTTGAAATTCTAATTTCAAGTTTTGCTATTTTGTGTAGCCTTCTTTTATATATATATATATATATATATATATATATATATATATATATGCCTGTGTATGCATCAAATTTGTTTATATGTCCAAATGCCCACAAGTTGTCAGGCCACTGTCCAGCCAAATGCAGCAGGTAATCATTCAAGTTTCATTGGGTTGTGTGTGTGATGTGTGTGTGTGTGTCATAATATTGAAAGTGTCATCTGTCCCCCTCCCCGACAAAAGAAAAGAAAAAAAATAATAATAAAAATACTTCATATATAACACACACACACACACGCATCCCCCCTCATCGCCATGAGATGAGTGCATATGCATGTATAACTATTTATACTTATTTATTGGTGTGTTTTATTGTGGACCTGTGCAACGGCTGCATTCACATGGGCCTCGGGTGATGCTTGTGACCCCCACTGACAACTGTAGAATATATGGCAAGGATCTAAGGTGACTGATTCACTAGCCAACAGCATTTATTTACATGCTACATTTACAGTGGAAGATTGTGACAAACATTGTCACTTAGGTAGAAGCTGAAAAAGAAAAAAAGGAAACTTTTAAATGCATTTAAACATGGATTCACATTTATTAAAAACAGCAATTATTTGGCTTAATTATTTACTGAGAAATGAGAAAACAATTTAGATTTATTAAATTTTAAGATGTTTATCTAAGTCTATGAAAAAAGGTATTAGCAAACAAAAATAAATATAACAAAGTCATCTTGTTGAATTAATTCTTATAACGAATTTACAAAGTATAAAGAAGATAATGCATTCTTTAATAAGAAAATAAAGTAATATGGTGTTTACATTTTACTAGATTTTTAATTTGCTTGAACAATGACATGTCTTAGTTTAAAACTATATGAAGATTGCACTTAAGTTGACAAAAAACAGCTGCCTGATGTTGGTATAATAAAAAAAGTCACGTTTTACATTTGGGGTATTTCATTTAGTTAACAAAAAAAAAAATGAGGTAAAGTGTGACATGAACTTATAATGGAAAAATATTTGCTTTCCTTACATTAGAATGCAGTTTAGGTGCAGAATTATGGGACACTGTGTAGCAGGAAAAAGATAACAGGTGGTATTGACGGTCCTTCAAAGAGTAGAACACAAATGGCGACAGGAATTGGCAGTCAGGGTGTACACTAACCTGGAAAGGATTTAAAAGGACATTTGAAAATTGAAGCAATAACAAAAATATGTACAAAACAAATATTTACAAATATCTACAATATTCTTATTCAAACAAGTTTTGTTAAATTCAACAAAATCTGTCTATTTCATTTTTATTTTATTTTTCAATTTTTGAATAGGGTTCAAAATTGCTGATCAAAACTTTGTTCTGAGTTCACATTTGGTTGTCACTTTTGTTCAAGTATTTTTGACTATCTCAGCCATTATCAAGAACTAGAAGTTTTTAAATTAGATACTGCAATTTTTTAGCATGACAGAAATGAAATTGGAATCAGTTCCAAGTGATATCATATGTAACAGAAAACATGGAAAAGTATGTATTGTATATTTATAGGCATATTAAAAGTTTTAGACACACTTCAGTATACAATCTCCTTATAATGTAGATATAGTTTCATATCTACTTAAACCATAAATTAAATTTTTACTAATGAGTGTTTTCTGATAATTATCAATATTTCTTTCAGTTGTTTCTTACATGCAAACAAATATACTTTCTCAGATAATGTAATTTCTATTTAAATTTGTTTATTAAATACAAATTTTTGATTACTCAATTAGAAAACAGGAGGGAGTTTGCTGTTAGATATGATCGGGAAAATGATCAAACTCACATAAGTGCTCTATCAATTAATCAATCAATCAATAATAGTAATAATAATAATAATAATCATCATCATCATCATCATCACCCCGCTCCCGACTTTTGTAATCATAGGCTGGATCCGAATCCAGAAGCCACATTAACTCTTTTCCAAAACAGTCTATCAATGGCAGCCATCAGCAATTCTGATACAGTCATACCTACCCATCATTTAACATTGGCCAACTGGTTTTTGCGTTGGCATCCTCTCCTACATCCACCTTCAACAGTGCCTTGTGTGATTGTTTTGCACAGGGTGTCGTGCCTTTATAATGTGTCCAAATCACACCATTTTTCTCTGTTTGACAGTGGCAAGAAGAGGTTCTTGGTGTCCCACAAAACTTTCAACCCTTTTCTGCAAAAACTCATTGGTTTATTTGTTCCCAATAGAAAATGCCAAGGAGTTTTCTCATGCATTTATTCTCAAATGCTTGGATCCTCCTCCCATTTGGTTTCCCAGAAGAACTGTGCTGGTAGTTTCTTTATATAGGGCCTCAGTGACTTGGATAATTCTGTTATCTACAGTGAATTCTCTAAAGATTTGGCAAACACTATCAAATGCTTTCTTAAAATCAACAATAGAAAGCCATGAAGAAATGGAGCTAAAGATTAAATTCTCAGACTTTACTAACTAACCTAATGTTTATTTACTCAAATTCTGGTCATTTGATACAATCAATCCGTAAACAAAACAAAAATCAATTTCTATAAAAATCATGGATTCAAATATTAAGATAAGGAAAAATAGAATAGAACAGTAATTCAAAGAAATTTAGTAACATTTCATTTTATATATATATGTATATATATATATATATATAAATACATTTTTTCCCTTAACAGTAGCACAACTCTTGTTTCACGTATAACAGAATCTTCAGGTATTGATTAATAATTGACCATTGCATAATTTAAATTTTGATATACAAATTTTGTGCGATGGGTAAATTGTCGCCATTTTATATTTTTAATTTGTGCATGCATGTTGTTTGTTTTTGTTGATTGAACAGAATAGCAGGGTCAGTTTGGCACCATCAGTGAGAAAAAGCAGCACCATGATACAATTCATTTTGCCAGAAATTTTGAAATGAGATGTATTTGCGCCGAAAGCTTGAATACAAATATATCAGAGTGTTTGGGTGTCAATCTGAGGACAGTACAGAGGATTTGGAAAGTATTGAATGAGTCTGATGGTAATTACGAAGGTACGGCAGCTAGAAAAACTCTGATCATTCTTATAATTTGTTGGTAAGGGCCTCAGACTCAACGTCGAGGCCTACATCAAGTGCCTTGAGGAGGTAATGCTGCCCTGGGTCAAGAGGGTGGCTGCTGAAAGATCCTATGTCTGGCAACAGGACTCTGCACCATGCCAAACAAGCTGGAGAACTCAGTCATGGCTGTCAGTCAATTTCTATGACTATATCACCCTCTTACACCTGGCCATCTAACTTCCCAGACTGCAACCCCCTGGATTATTATGTGTGGGGGTGCAGTTGAGCAAGAGACCAACAAAATTCCTTTTAACACCAAAAATGAACTGAAGGCAAGGATTATGGCAGCATTCACCAACTGAAATAAGGAGAATGTCCAAAAGAATTGCAGGCGATTCCAAAGTCATCTAGATGCCATATTTGAAGCCAATGGCAATTTTTTTAAATAAATTTACTCTTTAGTAATTCAAGATATTTTTGTGTAATTTTAGTAAATATATCTGTTAAAATGGGATGTTAGTGTTATTTTCATTGCATAATTTAATTGACAATTTATCCATCGCACCCTGTACATACTGGACAATAATGGTAGTGAAGCAGTTACAGGGTGTGTTTAAAAAATAATAAAATCATGGCACTGTCCTACGTTGAGCACTATTTTATATTAACACAAGCACTCAAGGTGTGGTATCATACACATACATGCACACATTTTATATATGTGTATATATATATATATATATATATATAATGGACTCTCCTGTTGGTTTCAATGTATGAGGATCTGAACTTAATTCAGTTATGAAATTTTATGCGATAATCTTAAGTGGCACTTAAGACCTGCTAGTGATTTACAAAGGAGGCTGCATATGGAGCAAGAGTGAGGATTGTGAGATGAGATCACTGTTAGATTGGCTGACCTTTTAGATCTTGCTCATGATTCTTGAAGATGATTCAGACAAGTAGATTGAAAATTGCTGAGTCCACTAAAACATGTTGATCTCCATTCTACCCACTCCAAGGTATAAGATAAATATTATTAAAGATAAGAGACAATTTGTGTCAGTTAATTTTATTGATTTTTCCAAATTATGAATAATTCTCAGATAAGAAGAAAATTCCATAAGAAATTGTCCAAAGTTCATTTTGGAAGAAATATAGTCCAAGCTTTTGACTTTTTCAAGTCAACCTCAGAGAGGTAGAAACAAATTTTGTAGAACTAGTGAGTGTAGTGATATAAGCAAAGTGTGTTGTGATGTAGGCAAAGTGTGTGTGTGTATTTATATACATTTGAGGATGTGAGCTTTTAAATTATAATTGTTTTTATTTATAGATGGTTGTTTTTGTTGTATGTTTTACTTTGAAAATGGTGTCTGTTTTTACTATTTTAGTGAAAGAGATAATCACCTCCCCTGAAAAAGAGTTCATGTTTTGTATGTGATCTGCTAAAGAAAAATTACTGAAATTAGTTAGCAAAAATTTACTACTTTAAGTATCAGAATCTATGCTAAGGTTCTTTCCTCCCGTGAATGGCATGACCAATCAGAAAAATCTCTTAGTGAATAAAATCTGTTGTTTTTCACTTACAGAAAAGGATTTTTCTGAGCTTGGCAGAAGAACATGCATTGTTGGAAGTTTGAGATATGTTTTTTTTCATAACTAGGTTTTGTAGGAAATAATAAATGAGGTATTTATTTTTATTGACTGGTTTTATATATCTATGTATGATGTTTTGTTTTATTGCTGTTTTGTCTTGTTTGTAATTGTAATACCATTGATTTTGGGAATATATGTTAATAGCTTTATTGCCGATATTATGTTTATGACTATGGATATTGTGAAAATTGTTGTTGTATAAATGAAATTTGATTTGTTTGTTGACTATGTCATTTGAGTACCCAATATTGATTAGTGTTTGATATTATTTAATTCCTTAAGGAAAATTATTTTGGATGCAGAAATGAGTTTGACTCTTTTGGATTCAGTTATTAATGACAGCAGGGTTAATGCACTGAAAATAATAATATTAAAAACTGTTGCCATCCAAATAATAGTAAAAACAGAATTATGATCCCTGAAGCAATATTTATACAAAAAAAACAACCATCTATAAATAAAAACAGTTGTAATTTTAAGACCCTACATCCTCAAATGCATATTAAAAAACACACACACACACACACACACACATCTTTTCTATGTCACAACACTCTTTGCTTATGTCACTACACTCACTAGTTCTACTAAACTCACCATTTGTCTCTACATAATGATGACAAAAAAATCTAAAGCTTGGACTATGTTTCTTCCAAAATGAACTTTGGACAAAATTATCCAAAGTTCATTTTGTGCTTGCTTTGAATATTGCTGCCACATATAGTCTGGTGTTCCTGCTATATATTTAGAGATTCTTGATAAAATTCAAAGAAGAATCTGCAATATTATTGGTCCTGATCTGGCATTTTGGCTTCAGTCCCTTTTTTCCTTTTTAGCTTCTCTGTGTCATTTCTATAAATACTTTCATGGTAATTGTTCTGATGAACTTCTCTCTATGGTACCTAGACATTATGAATTTAAGTACAGTACTATATTGGTGGTAAGGTCTCATCAATTTACAGTTGAAATGGCTAGATGTAATGGTAAGTTATATGGTGGGGTAATGGATAGCGGCTTGGATTGAGGAATCAGAGAGCCGGGTTTGAATTCCAGTCAAATCATTACATTCACTTCCGTGCTAATACCCTTGGGAAAAGTGTGAATCCTCTTCTTCTACCTCCAGCTATGGGTAAATAGCAGGACAGACTGGGTTCTATAGCCTTGAATGGCAACTGGTCTAGGAGAAGGACAACTTTGAATTCAAAACCTGCAGAGGGTCGTTAGGGGACCTTGTGGCATGTAGTACACCAGGTCTTTGTATTCAGCCCTTCAAAAAGTGTGCATGGTCCTGCACGAAACTTTCACCACTATAATCAAATCTCATGTGCTGTTGTCGGGCTGTCCATTTCCTAGGAACTGATCTGCTTGACCCTCATACATCGAATTTTAACGGGAGAGTCAAGTATATATATGTATAAACATAAAAGTGAACATTGAAATCAACAATCAGAGGTGATAGGCTGTTTCATGCTAAGCGCAATCATCAGGCCGCGAATGTTGGATTTTTCCTCAACTATTTATATATATAGGTCAGTGGTGCATTGTGGGTAATCTATTCTGGCGGTTATTTTTATGGGAGTGTCTTATTTATTTATTTATTTGTTTGGGTTAATTTATTTGTTTTTCATTTTCATTTTGTATTATTTATTCTTTTGGTTTTTGATGTTTTATTAATGTAGTAGGGGTGGGGGATTTGCTTAGGTCACTTATTTAATAGTTAGTCTTGGTCTGGGAAGATAATTAAGGCTATTTATTCATTCAATGTTTAGATTGCTTACCATAGTCTATTCTGTTATTTTGGCGGGTGGGGGGGCAGTTTTTTTATTTATTTATTTGGATTTACTATTTTTACTTGGTTTTGCTTATTTATGCTTATTTTTATTAGTTCTAACAGTTATTTTAGCGATTTGTTAATTTGTTCATTTATTTATTTGTATTAATTTTTATTTGTTTTTATTTATTTACTTATTTTTTATTTTGTATATCTTTATTTACTCTATTTGGCTTTTGATTTTTATGGGTTTTTTATCGGTATATAGTAGTTATAGCCATTTTTACGTCCAATTTTTGGATTGGTTGCTGTAGTCTATTCTAACGGTTATTTTGGCAGGATTGGTTTGTTTATTTGTTTATTATTTTTTACTTTATTTATTTGGGTTGATTATTTTTAATTGTTCTTTTATGTATTTTATTTTTTTACTTATTCTATTTCGTCTATTCTAATGCGAGTGGTTTGTTAATTTGTTTGGGTTAATTTATTTTACTTGCTTTTTATATTATTATGTTTATTTGTATTTATTCATTTCAGTTTTCGATTTTTAAGTAATGTAGTAAAAATTTGTTTTCATGTCTGCATTTTGAGATGAGCTCAGATTGTTTATTTAGTAATTTATTTTTTTTAGCTATTTTTTTTTCCCTCCAAGCAAAGTTTGCAGGTTTTTGATTGATTGTTGTAAGCTGATGATCTTTTCCTTATTTTCCATGATATTTTTGGTGTGATTTGTGTTTTGTTTTCCCAGATATACTTGGCAAGCATTGTGCTGTTCACGTATTTACTATTTGTGAAGGAAGTTTTGTGTGCATGGTTTCTTTGTTTCCAAGGTCTTTCAGTTACTCCTATGTATACTTTTTCTTCATTATATGGTGATTTTGCCATAGCTTGGTATATTACGTTGTTTTGTAAGCAATTACTGTTTAAGGGACATTCATTCTTTATTCTACAGTTACACGTGGGTTTAATTTGTTCGGGTGCTTTGTTGAAAGTTTTCCTGTTGTGCTTTTTTATTATTTGTGCCATGTTCCTGGTGCAACTATAGCTGATTTTTACAGTGTTTTTATTGAATATTTTGTGTAGAGTGCTTGATTCTGAGAATTGTTTGTTTAAGAGTTTGAAGAATATTTTACCTACATTTGTTTTTATGTTTTTGCTGTACTGTGGGTTGGACTATATAATATTTCTCTTCCTGTTGGCCTTTCTTTTGCTCTGTGATGAGTATGTGAGAGTTGCCAGGAATCCACTATCTTTTAGGGCTGTTTTGTCGTCTTTCTTAGCTTTGTTAAATATGGTTTTGTTGCAAGAATTGTCGGAAAGCCTGCGGTTAATTGATTTTGGTATCTGGTTGATTATCGAAGGTGGGTGATTGGAGGATGTGCGTATGTACAGTGGTTTATCATTGGGTTTTCTGCATAGTTTATATGTGCCTTTTCTTAGGTTGAAGGTAACATCTGGAAAATCTACTTTGTTTAGGTTAGTTTTTATGTCAAATCTGTTATTTTTTAAAATCCTTATTATTGCTTTTCTAGTTTTGTCTGTGTTTTTTTTTGTTGTAGTTTCTGAAGATTATGAGACCGTCGTCCCTGTAGAGTCCTGTATCCTTTTTATCTATTATTTCACTTAGTTCATGTAGTAAATATATACCTATGATTTTGAAGGTAGTCGAGGAAAAATCCAACATTCGTGGCCTGACAATTGCACCTAGCATGAAACATCCTGTCGCCTCTGATTGTTGACTTCAATGTTCACCTTTATATTTATACTTACATACAGTCTATCTCTGATATTGAGCACTTTATCCCATAAATATAGCACACCTTAAAACTATATATATATATATATATATATATATATATATATATATACAGATTATTGCTGCCACACTAGGATAGGATAATATTTAAAACAGGGATCATAATTCATTAATAATAAAGATAAAAAAGTATCACAATGATTAAAATCCTTGTTACCTACCTGTTTTGGCATGATTTTAAACACAGTTGTTGAAAATAATTTATTTTTTTCAGTTATATGATTCCTGTTTTAAAGATTATCATATATATATATATATATATATATATATATATATATATATATATATGAATATAAAATATCACACAGAGTGGTGGTGCTAATAAAATATATATATAATTCCCATATAATATATAGACTGTGCCAGTATTGCATTAACCAAATATTTTTATTAAAATTTAAATTATGTAACAGTCAGTGTCTACCCAGCACCTGAAGATTGTGTTGTGCATGAAAATCTGAGTCCAATTTAATAATTGCATTTTAGCTGACAAATCTACAATTGAATCTTTGGCATATTTTAAAGCAAAATTTAGAAACATTTTATATATGAGAATCAAAAAGAAAAATAACTGTCATTTGTCTGACTGATTAAATGAACAGTGGAGCCAGAAAAAAAAAAAAAGACATAAAATACCAATCACTTTTCATTTTGATGTGAATCTATTTTTCTAAATTTAAATTAAGTAATAAATTTTATTTTGTATGAGTGTTTGTGTTTGCTTTAAAACTGTTTGTTTTTTACGTACTCTGTTAAAGTGGTCTGTTCTCCTCATTAGGAGACTGGGTTGTTTTCGCCTGTTCATTATCTGGGAAGAAAATACTTGGTTCTGTATTACGACGCTTGATTTTATTCTTACTTTTCTTCAACATTGTAGCCTAGAGAGAGAAAATAAAGAAGATATATGAACAGGTGGCTATGAAATTCATTCAAAATTCACAAACATTTTCCAAGTTTTAAAAGCAAGATCAAATTACAATTTAATGCAGAGATATTTTCTCTTATCACAGCATGACAAATCCTAGTTAGCATCAAGATGAAATGTTTAAAACTTTTTCATATAAAATGAGTGCATGTCATGTTATAATTCTACTTGTTTCTTAACATGTACAATATGTCTTGCCATTACCTCAGATAAATAATGAGCCATTCCTGTTTGAATGTAAGGAGAGACAGAAGATAAATCAAATGTATTGTTTCAGTTAAGGGAGAGGAAGAGAAAAAGTAAGAAAGAAAGGGAAGATAGAGGAGGTGATAACATTCATGTGTTTAATATCTGTTCCAGTGAAATAAAAGACCTTGTCAATTTCAAATCTTTTCATTTGAACCCTCTTACTTCTTTAAATAATAACCTGCATTCCTACTTATGATTGTTAGTGGAATATTTTGTTAAAGTTGTCAAGTTCAAATGTTTAACAATGCAATAGTGGTATTTCCACAGATATTTTAGTCATGGAACTCACAAGGTGCTTATTCAATCTTTAACTTAAGAATTAAGATTTGCCAAAAAATTAAAATAGGAAAGCTGTGAAATTTTCATAACTATTGATATCTCAAATTTATATACATAATCCTTTCATTGTAAATTAATTTTTATACAAAAATTATCTGCCACCAGTCTCTCTCAATATCACCACCATGACCTCAGTCAACTGACCTGACACACACATTAACTCCTGGCCATACCAACTCTACTCTTTCTCTAAGTCGCTTTTCTTGCCTACAAAGAGACATTCCTCTCACATCCTTTGTATTGACAGTACAAAGAATTTATATTAACAATTCTAGTTTCTTTTTTTGTTCGCCTCACTAGTGGTAATTGTTTCATTTGTTTTTTTACAGTATATCAACCTCAATGGCTTATTTAATGCCGATAACATTTTGAGGGTAGAATCGTATGAATAGAATATGTATTCTTTGTAAAATATTAGTTTGTAGATCAGGTTTCATTGATGTATTCTTTTCAGATATATAGTTTGCAGAGAAATTGATTTTATTGACATTGTCATTTGGTCTATATTTTTTGGTAGAAGCCCAGTTTTATGAAATAATATTGTGTCATCCACTTCTGTTTTCTTGAAGAACTCATACATTTAGTTTATATTATAACATTTTTATCTTGAGAGAGCAAGGTCTGAACACTCGGTTAATATATATTTAATAGTGTATGCTGTTTCACATGCTTGGCATACTGGTTGATCTTTGTTGTTTAGCAAGTACGAGTGGGTTACTCTTGTGTGGCCAATACTACTACTTACTTTTGAGATTTTTTGAAAGCTGATTCCATTCTCCTAGTTTGGGCTGAATTGTGAAGAGTTTATTATATGAGTTATCATGCCAGAACCGTTGCCATTCCTTTTGAATATATTTGTTAATGACTTCCTTAAAGTTGGTATATGGGATTTAGGTCCTTGTGTCTACATCCATATGTAAAACTGATTTTGCTTCTAGGTTTGCTTTATTGTTACCTTTCACGCCAATGTGGCTAGGAATCCGACATAGTTTGATGTCTTTATGTTTTAAAGTAGTAATCATTTTACATAATAGTTTGATAATGAGTGGATTGTTGGATTTTTTTTCCTTCAAAGCCATTAGGACAGATAGTGAGTCTGAAAAAAAATTTGTTTGCTCTCTGTGATGATTTTGAGAGCTAGCTCTATTGTATAAGCCTCTGCAGTGAAAATAGAGCTTCACTTTGGAAGGTACTTCTTTTTGTAATATTTTGGCTCACTACTACACATCCTGTCTTGTCTTACACTTTGACCCATCTGTACAGATGGGTGTATGGTTAAGGTAGTTTTCCAATATTCTCTGAAATTTTCCCTGGAATTTGAGAGGGTGTGTTTTTTGCTTAGGGAGTTTATTTAATTCTAGAAAGACTTTGGGTTGTTTGATTGTCCATGGTGGAAAACTGGCTGCAGTTATTTCTTGTATGTTTAAGAGTGAGATTGCTAACTCTTCAGCAATGGATTTTATCCTGAGTCCATAGGGTTGCATTATCTTTTTGTTGGAATAGATCACAGTAATTAGGTTCAAAGGTACTGCTGTAAGCTGGGTTACTTGGGTTTGATTTTATTTTGAAATAGTACTCTAGTGTGAGTTTAGTGTGCCTTAACTGTGGATGTGTTTCATTAGCTTTTTTTGTATAAGTTAAGTTCTCAACTGGGGATGTTTTGAAAGCCCCAAGTACTAGTCTGAAGCCTTGATGATAGGTTGCGTTGAGTATTTTTAGGTATGATTTTCTGGCTACCCCACATATGAATAAGTCATTGACATATAGGGAGCATCTCACTCCTGGGCTTGGGGATTAAGCTATGGAGTTAATTTTTATACAGAATAGGGTTACTGAAAGACTACTTCCTTGTGGAACCCCTTCTTGATTTTATGGTTCTGATAGTGTAGTTCCTATACAGAATTGAACTTCAGTCTTCCAGGAAATTCTCTATGAACTGAGTCAGCCTTCTTTTAAGGCCCAACTCATGCAGGTCTTTCAAGATACCAATTTTCCATGTCATGTCATATACCTCCAACCCCCGCCTCCCCACTCAAAGGCATTTTGTCCCAATGATTCTACTTATTTGATAGCTTAGTAAGAAATCCCGGTCCGAAAAGTTAACAAAGAAAAAAACGAGAAAAGTGGAAAATTGAATGTCTTTGACTAGATGCGAGGGTGTCTCGTCAGTATTCTAACGATGTTGTGACAGTATCTTTTTGCTTGATATATTGTCTGAAAGTGGAATTGTTTTAGCCCCTTCTATCTCCTCTTTCCAAATCTTATTGAAAACATATCTCCCAAGCCCAGTACTTGGTGAGGGCTGAGGATTGGCCGATGATCCCCCCCCCCACACACCAGGTCGATGCTTGGACACAAGGTAAGCCGTATATTCAGTCACCATCATCATGACGATGTAGACAGTCACCCACTTGTTGGCCCATGTGAGTATCGTTTCACTCTAGCAGAATGCATTTACATTTTTCATTTTTATTTTTTTTTTTTTTTGTTTTTAAATTTTTCTATTTTTTCCCTCCCCCCACCTCCCCACTCAAAGGCATTTTGTCCCAATGATTCTACTTATTTGATAGCTTAGTAAGAAATCCCGGTCCAAAAAGTTAACAAAGAAAAAAACGAGAAAAGTGGAAAATTGAATGTCTTTGACTAGATGTGATAATAAATCCGGGTAACCCGGGTAACCGTATTTTCAATTTCTTTTTAGAATAGACAATGGGACTTATACTAAGTTAAAACTTAATGTGATAGGGTATAGCCAATTGTGATCCAGGACTCCTTACCTGTTATCTCTCCCTCGAATCCTTCCCTCTGTTTTGTGTCGTCCTTTTTTGTGTTATCTGTAATAGGAGTAGGTAGTCTCTTCTACCGCCCGGTCAACACTCCTCCCCCTTCTATTGGACATGAGTAAAGGCTTACACCTTGTTTCCCGGTACTGTTTTCTCTCTCCGGCCTCTGTATTAGTGCAGCTCTGTTTCTCCCGTGATGCGTGCAGTCTGTGGCAACATCTCTTCATTCTGAGGGTACACGGCTGACAGTTCTCTGGTTGCTGTTTCCGACTGGTAGTTAGGAGCCTTAACTCTTGTGTAGCGTCTTGAGCGGCTGCTCTGATCAACAGTTGTATAATACCGGGGTGTTTGTAGTGCCATGTTGCGCATGGAAAGATGTCCCTGCAGTCACCTCTGGTGGGCAGGCCTGAGGCCACATAATGATGCAGATTTTGCCAACTCCTCTCTGCCCGCGTCATGGTCGAAACTGTCTGTTTCTTTTACTTCGGCCTTCTCATTTTACAAACAAAATCCAACATGAGTTACAAAAACTGAAAGATTAACCCTAAACCAGCTTCTCAGAAACCACCTAAACCCCTCAACATTTCGTTCTCCAACATCCGGGGCATTAGGACAAACTTCTACAGTCTGGAATCTTTCCTCACTGCAAACGGTCCGGATGTACTGGCTCTCTGTGAGACAAACCTTGTCTCATCTATCCCCTCTTCTGATCCCTTGATCCCAGGCTATCTTTCTCTCCTCAAAAAAGACTCTCTAACCCACATGCACGGTCTTGGTGTCTACGTCAAGGAACATCTCCCTCTGGCCAGAGAGTCCTCTCTCGAATCGCCTGACCAGTCATACATGTGTCTCCGACTCTCTCTCCTCAATGTGGTAAGCTATCTCTTCTTCCTTTACCGCTCTCCATCCTCTCAAGACTGTGAGATACTTGATAGCATTTCTGACAACGTAGACAAGGCTCTCTCCCTCCACCCGTTTGCTCACATTTTTGTGTTTGGAGACTTTAACGCCCATCACACCCTGTGGCTTAAGAATGCTACTACTGACCATGCAGGCATTCAAACGCTTAATTTTTCAATCTCCCATTCCCTCACACAGATAGTTAACTTCCCCACTCGTTTTGCCTTCAACCGGGAAGGTAAAGCCTCTCTACTCGACCTGTGCTTTACCTCCATCCCCGAATCCTGCAGCGCCTCGCAACTCTGCCTTTTTGGTAACTCTGACCATGCAGTAGTATCGGTTAACATCTCCTTTAACTCCACCCCCTATAAAGAACCTCCTATCACTAGAACTTTGTTCTATTATCAACGAGCTGACTGGGACGCGTTCTGTGATTTCCTCCGTGATGTCCCCTGGGATGGAGTCTTTAAGCTCCCCATCCAAGAATGTGCTTCTGAGATCTCTTCCTGGGTTAAAGCTGGAATCGACATTTTCATCCCATCAAGGAAATATAGGGTCAAGTCGCGCTCCTGCCCCTGGTTCTCGGCTGCTTGCTCAGCCGCCATCGCCCATAGGAACCACTACTTCCACCTATACCGTAGCGACATGTCGGACTGCAATAGACATCTCTTTGCCTCCGCCT